TGCTGACCTCTCCAACACTGTGTTGCAAACTTTCTGGTGGAAATGCCTAAAATGGACAAAAACTCCCTGATGGGTGAGATGGACCCAGATATTTTATCAACCAAAAGATCTTGAAATTTCCGCTCACGTTCGGAAACTCTGCTACCTTTCACAAAAATCACTGCTGTTTGTAGACTTTGTTGGGTTAACCTACAGGTACCCACATCAGGGGAGCAATCACAGAGGCCAGTGCTCCACTGCCCAACACTTTGAGAGCTGGTGACTGCCACCAGCTGGGTGGGCTACTGGTAGATGACGGCCATGCCTGGAGGAAAGAGAAATGGAGGCTCAGATTTAAGGAGGGATCATATAAAATCACTACAAAGCTGTGAACTAAATTTTTAAAAAGTTTGGGGGGGGGTATTTTTATTATGTTGCATTGCCTTGTGTTTTAAAATATGTTACAGCAAAATCGATGAGTTTGTGTGAGATGCAACAAATATGTTTTCAAGCAAACATTCATCCTCTTGTGGGCTAATGCACAATCGAAAAAACAGGCTAGGAAACCTACACGGCAGGTACGGACATTAGACCAGGGGTTGGCGACCGCGAGCTGCAGGCTCTTTTGGCCCTCAGCTGTGGCTCCTGCAAACTTTGGTTGAAAAAATAAAACTAAGAAAAATTTCATGTTACAGGCATAACCTTCCCTTTAATACGACGGAGTATTGGGGCCACATTAATAAAAATATTTTTGACCATTTTAAGAAAAAATTTGAAATGTCGAGATTACAGTTGTTGTTTTCAGACAAACTGCCACAGTTGCAATGCCCTCTGAGTTAGTGAAATACTTCAGAATCTGTTTTAGTAACAAGGACGGAAATTATTTCTCTTTTAGCACATAAACACAGTGTAGTGATCAGTATAAGGATGTTGAAAAGATGGTTCATCTGGTCAGAAGGAAAAACACAAGAGTTTCTGTAACCTTCTCTCTTTTCATGTCTCCACTTTGCTATAAGTTGATCCAGACCACAAAGCTAGCTAGCAGTTACTTGCCAAACTCAAGCCAGAGGTCTCTCTGCTGCGGTAGTACGATGAAGTCCAAACACCGCTCGTTCCTGACCGACGACACTCTGCTGTCCTGCATGAATATTAAAGTGCTCCTGAAGCTCTGCAGTAATGTTTAGAAACAGAACTCACACTAACCTAATTTTATTCAAAAATTATTGGGCCTCTGCTATGTTTTATTTATTTGAAAGTGGGCAATTTTTTAGGTGTGAACTCAAATAGACAAAATACAAAATGATGCTTTATGTAAAAGTAGGCCTCTACATGCCAGTGTTGTTTTTTCTCCTCATCAAAGTGTTTGTTAAAAGGTTCTTAAAATAAAAAGACCTCTTATTACATTTGTAAGTATTATCCTTTCCGAATTGCATCACTCTGGGCACTCGGTCTGTGACCAAATGTTTTCTACACTGTTAAAAAAAAATCTTAAAAAAACGGTAATATTCCGGCAGCTGGGCGCCAAAATACTACCGTAAAATAACAGAAAATAACTTCCTCAGAAAAATACGGTTATTTTCAGTAATGACAATACAGTTTGTTGCGCTAATTTTACATGGGATCTTGCCTTTTCAAGTGATTTTAAACATTAAATTAGGAACATGTTAATGTGATTAAACAATGAAATTATCTATAAATAGGGGGGAAAAAAACAAATCTTAAAGAAACGGTAATATTCCGGCAGCTGGGGCGCCAAAATACTATCGTAAAATAATAAATAAATAATTCTCATAAAAATACAGTTATTTTTTAGTAATGAAAATAGAGTTTGTTGCGCTAATTTTACATGGGATTCTGCCTTTTCCAAGTGCTTTTAGACAGTAAATTAGGAACATTTTAACGTGATCAAACAATGAAATTACCTATAAACAA